TTTTTTTTTTTTTTAACAGAGTTGGGGGTCAAATTCATTACCCTGAGATCAAGACCTGACTGAGCTCAAGAGTTGGACCCTTAACCAACTGAGTCACCCTGGTGTCCTCAAGGCCTCTTTTCTATACGTTTGGGAGAGGGGACTGGTAATGGCTTCCTATTCATTACCAATATTACTCACTCTTTCCATACCTTTTGGGATGGCCTGGTTGTGCTTCTGTATTAGCATGCTTCTGTATTTTTGTGATTTGATTGACAGATTGGAGCTTCCTCTCTCTGTTTTTAGATTATAAGCTCTGCTAAGGCTTATAGTAATCATATCACATTTCCTCTGTGATCCTCCCACTAAGCTAGTTTCCAATGAGCGTGGAGATTGGTGACACTGAGGATGACGAGGGAGATAAAGATAGAATGTGTGTACGGATGCTATGAAGGGAAAGAAATGTGCTATGTTATCTAGCTATACAAATTTTAATTGTTTTAATGATCAGTTCTTTAAAAAACATGGCACTGGTATTCAGTGTCTTTTTTCCATTTATTAAGTCTACCTTTTGTGTTTTCCTTTGTAACCTGTGTAGCTCTATTAATATGTCCTTAGATGGCAAGCATCCACACATTTAAAATGGCAGTTCAAGTTTTATGTCTTTTAAAGAAGTTCTCAGGGTACATTAATTTTTTTGGCTTTTTATTGGAATTTCTGCTAGGCCCCATCAGCTCGTCTTCACAATTATACAGCTTTCTACCCCAGTCTGTGACTATGAGGAGAAACAAAGAAATAGCACAAATCCAGGGGCGCCTCTACAATCACACCTCTTCTTTAAGATAATGACCTTTTCTAAAATTCTGCAGGTGGAGGCTATTTCTGCCTGGTTTGGGAATAGAATTGGCTACATTTTTATTTTTTCCCACTTTTCACACCCCAACCCTCCCCCCAAAGAGACTTGGCTTTAGCTTTGAAAATCCATTGTTCCTTGACCAGTTGGAGGTTTTGGGGTTTTTTTTTGCCATGTTTTTAGAGTCGAGGTAATGTCCTTTTAAATCTTTCCAGTCACAGTATGTATTAATTATGGATAGTGACAAAGTCCAGAAATAATTCTAAGGTACTTAATGTCAATAGTAAGGGGCATATTAGAAAGAGAGAATTTCTACCCAATTACAAGTTGGTCCTTGCATTCAGGGCTCATAAAAAATGCATAGATTTTCAGAATTGAACACAGTGAAATCCAGTTAGTCTTAGAGGTGTCCTTGGGGAAATCAGTATTATTCAGTGAAGATTTTAAAAAATATGAGGATAATATTAAACTAAAAAAGATTTATGTGGCTGAAACTTTCTGTTTCTACTCTGGTTTTCTATTCATGTGGAAGCACCTTCTATCTTGTAAGCACAAAAACAAAGATGGGCCCATTTTCCCTAGACAATGCTAATACGTTCACAAAGCTAAGGAGTCACTCAATTAAGTGAGATAATGTAAATTCATTCATTCCTGTTCACAGAGAGTTACGGATTATATTGTAAGAAATGCTTTTCATTAAAAATGTCTTTCCATTTGCTGTGGAACAGTGGCAAGTATAGATTAATGTAAACCCCAATGTATAATTGCTTATTTGTTGTCTATTTTTCACATCATTTGCCTGTTTTGTATTTCCATGATAATTTCTTTTTCTAATAAGGGGCAAATGTACTATCAGGTCTCCACAGAACCTCCTCAAACGAGCTGACTTATAAGAGATGGCTGGATATGGGGTCCAGAGTACACAGATGGTGCCACCAGCTAGGTAATGACCAATGTTGGTGCCCTGTTCACATGGTTAAGTAGGGAAATCTTAATAATCTCCTGTTTTGACTACTCACTTTTCTATCACTTTTCAAAAGAAAGGTAGAGCTGCTCCTGTTCCAATTCACATACATGTGTGATCTGAGGTTGTTCTAGGACAAGACTCTCTTTTCACTGGGGGATGTTCATGTGGAAGCCTCTCTGTACCACGTGTCCATTCCACCTTTACACTGGTGAATGGGGGTGGGGCAGGTGGAGACACGTGCCTTTGGGCGGAGTCAGTGACACTGAGGGCTCCAGGGCACAGCTTCTGCCAGCTCACAACCCCAGGCTTAGTGGCCTTTTCCCTGCACTGAGGCCAGGAGATGTGGGTTCTAGCTCAGGATCTGCCACGGTTTGACTTTTACCACAGCCAAACCACCAAACTCTGTGGATCTCCCATTCTTGGCTGGTAAGGTGATATAGGGCTTCCAGTACATCGTTGCTGAAGAAATATGGCTCACCCTCCCCCCCAACCACCCCAGTCATTGTTATCTGGGCAACAGAGACTATATTGTTGAGACTGAAATATCCTTTTTATGCAGAGAATATTTGTATCACAATATTCCTTTATTTGCCCAAAATGGGAATTAGAAGCAATGACAGAATCAGCTTCTCAACCTCTTTCTAAAACATCTGGTTTCTCTCCCCAGGCAACTGGTGTGAGGGGCTACCTTATGAGGGAAAGATTTCAAAGTTCACTTAACTCTCTTGATCTTTCCTTCTACAAACTACTAGGTATGGAAGAGAGAGAACTTCCTGGAAATACAGAGGTCAAGTTACTGGGTACCAGTGTATCTGTATTCAATGTCTTTGATCCTCTAATGCCATCCCTAAAAGGTATGTAAGTAACCTTTTGATGTATCTAAATGTAAAAACCAAGAAATTAATTTTACAGAGAAAAGATTCTAATGATTATTTAATTCTATTTATATTATTCTAAATTTCCTACCCCTCTGTTTATATGTTAATTTACATACACACATTTTCAGTGGAAATCAGTGAATAGATGCTATTTTGAGTTCTATTTTTCTCTTTCACTTAACTTGATACATAGAAATATGTATGAAATACACACAGTCAACATACTTGTCATTTTGAATTACAGCTTTTATTATATGCTGTCAAATTGTCTGCTGGAGTTACTGAGTCAATTTTTAATGTTTCCAAAAATATGAATACTGTATATTAGGTTCTCCATAATTTAGTGCACAATCAGGTTTTATTATTTTATTTAGTTTTGCTACTTTAATGGGTATCTTACTACTTTTTCAGAGTACATTTATTAATACAATTTTTATATTAAGTATACACATATGTATTGGCTAGCAAAGTTAATTTTAGGAAAAGGGAGGTCTGGCTATTGAGGGAAAAAAGCAGAAGAAATTCACTCACATCCTTAGAAGAGAACCATGTTTGAACTCAAATTATGATTTCCTTTTAGATTTTACTGCTTTATCAAGGATGTATGACACTTCCAGTTTAAAACTGTATGTCCATCAAACTTCTGGAAGTTTAGGACTTTGTATTTGCTGTGACTTGGTGTGTTATCTGGGCTTCCCACTGTTCTCGCTTCCTCGGTATTCACATGCTTTCTCGACCTCACATGCCTGCCAGTGTGGAGTAGGAACTCTTTAGCCTTAAGTTTTACTGGTTCAATAACCACAGAGAGTATTGAGCAACTTCTAATATGATGTAACAATTCAGATTTCTACAGCAGTTTACAGTATGTGAGGATGTGCATGTCACAAAAATATTGCCCCAAACCGTTCCATGTTGCTATAGGTGAAAAAATAAAGTTAATTTTCACCCCAACACAGTTTACAATGTGAAGTACCAGTAGTAATAGTGAAAGGCAAGACAAAGTATATTAGGCAAAGCTCCATTCATGCCTCCACATTTTTGGAAGAGCTTCTGTGTCCATAGCACTACAATATGTGCAGTGGGGAAGAGAGACATGGGCTCTACTGCCCAAGTAGCTTATTGAATGAGAAACATTGACCCAGACAGCTACTGTACCACATGGACTCCAACAGGTAGCATGAGAGCAATGACAACAATGGGCTAAGAGATGTAGAAGAAGGGACAAGGTTATTTCTCCCTGGAAGGCTGTAGGAGAAACTTTCAGCTTGGTCTTAAAGGATGGTAGAACTTGAACAGACACATGGCAGCAGCATGAACAAAGGGACACAGGAAAAAAAAAGGACAGTCCTGCATTTAGGGAGATGTAAAGGAACACAAATGGGTAAGTGGGTAGAAACACTGCTAAGGAAGGTTGAAGCCAGATCATGGAAGGTCATGAGTGTCCAACCAAGGGCTCGGCCCTGAGTCAGTCAACTGACATGAGTCTACAGGGGGGCAATGTAACTGTGCTTCCAGAAGATTCCAGAACTGGGTAGGATGGACCAGAGAACATGGGAATGGAATCAAAGACCAATATGGCAGAGATGAGAGGGAGTCTGGGCTTGAGCAAGGAGACTAGAGAGTGAGGGATGTAGGAAAGAGAATGCGGTTGTGGAGTCATGGAATTTAATGACTACCATTACACACACTGCACATATTAAACATTTGAATGGGATTTAGAAATAAAGAAATTACAGTATCAGTTTTCAGTAAAAAGTTTATACTTTTTTTCTACCAATCTAACTTCTACTATTGGGATTAAAAATTCTAGGTAAAAACACCTTCTGTAACAGACCCTTATTCTCCTTTCTAGCTTAAAGATACGGCCTCACCCTAAAGAAAATTACATTCATCAGTTAGTATTCTACTAGCACTGCGTTCAAATTCTAAATTAAAGAGATGGAAAATCCAGTTCTAGTTTTCAAATATGAAATTTATTTTCAAAACACGAGTGTTGTCAAGTGGCCTTTTGCAGAGAATTTGCAGCCCTCCCTCTAGTTCTTTATATTTTAAATTGCAAGTGCTGTGCTCCCACCTCTTTGGAGAGATGAAATTGATGTTCTGAGTCACTGCCAGACGTTTGCAACTAAAACTATCTACAGCAACAGCTGCTCTGGATTTCAAATTGCTCAAGCAAATGCAGAACACAGTGTGAGCTCTGGGTAATGACTTGGGAGAGAGGAAATGAACAAGACTGGGAAAGGCCTTTCGTATAATCCAAAGGCCACATATTTTTTTTGTGAGGTATTCACATATCTGATTTCCAGTCTAAGAATGGGTAGCTAACATACAAAGGGCTTACTTACCTTATTACAAACAGAACTCAACTAAATAGGAGGTTGTAAAACAAAACAAAACAAAACAAAACAAAACAAAACAAAACAAAACAAAACAAAACCCAGCCCTAAGTAAAGCAGAACCATCAGTGACTTCAGCAGAAAACTGGTGCTTACCTGAAAAATCAAGTGCACACACTCCTCTCTGGTGTTGTCCTTTCAATAGTGACAAACATTTCAGAGTTTGTGTGTCCCACACATGAATAGCAGCATCTCTTCCAACCTTAAATAATAGGATGAGTGTAATTAACCACTTATAAATCATAACAAGAATGATGCCTTAGAATCACTTTCAGAGTTCCTTAAAGTCAAGTGCTGCCCAGACATCCACACATTTGGGGAGCAGGAAGACACTTGGAAATCATTGTTTTCAGGATGATAAAACTGAGGTACAAAGAGTCTAAGAGGCTTGTTCTGGGCATCAAATTGGGGGCCAGCCCAGCCTAACCTGGTACATGGCTCCCAGGCAAGGTACTTTAAAACTGCAAGTCAAACGTCCACTGTGCTTTCTGTATGAGTTCTAGATTTTTCTCTCCTGCCTTTCCAATTCCGCATAAGATTCCACTTCCTGGTCAAGCAAGTCACCTGTGTGTTGTTACAGCAATATCTTCAGAGTTCTTTCACCATCTCAAATATCTTACTCATCCCAAGAAGGCCTGGCTCTGCTTTTCCTCCCAGGAAATGACAGTTTCATGGCCTACCTGTTGGTAGGATGGATTCTCCTTGAGGGAATACAAGCTTCTCTGACACTAATCCCCAACAACAAAATTTTAATAAAGTGGTTTTCCTCACTTAATTGTAAGGGAAAGAAGAACCTTGTTGGGTGTAGTGACTATAAAAGGGAAAATGGGACATAAAACAATGCACATAACTGGGCAGAATCCAGCCAACTGCCTCACTGGTGTCTGGAGCCCCAGTTACCCCTGGAATGGCTACTGGTGCACTGGTTTGTCAATGGTCTGCCTCACACCAATTACAGTATAGAATGTGATGTATTAAGTATACACACATGCACTGGCTAGCAAAGTTAGCCAATATATCGGTTAAAATATAAAATAATGATTTAGGCAAAATGCATGACTTTAAGTTTTATAAAAATAACTATTCACTAGATGTTATACTAGCACTAAAAGATGGTTCATTCAATAAACACTCACTGGTTACCTAGGATATACGAAGTACTGGGTATACAGTGATGAGGAAAATATATTAAGACTGCATCCATGGAACTTACTTTAGTTTTAGCTAATCCTATTTATGGATCTCATGTCAGAAGGAAATCTCTCAGAGGCTTCCCAACAGTGCTGTGTAATGTACTGGTTAATTCTTCTACTATCATGAAATGACGCAGCATTTACTGAATCCTCAGCTTATTGCCTCTTGTTTGTTTCTACCAAGTATTTCTTGAACTAGTATGTAAAGTGGACTCAAAATGAAATCCTCTTGGGCTAGACCACCATCCTAGAGGAGAACTACACACCTGCCCGGTGGCCACGTAGTCTTTCACTGGATGGATGGTCAGGCTGAGAATGTCATCATCGTGCCCCAGGTACAGCCTCTGGGAGTGTTGCTGCCTGTTGTACACAACAGCAACTGCAGCAATGTGATAGACCACTTCTCCGGTCTGCGTGTAGAACAGATTGTTTCTACAGTCGTAGCCCCTGTAACTGAAGCACAGGTCCAAGACATGCATGGTAGTTGAATGAACAGTGAACGAACAGAGCAGGAGAGGTCAGGTGGTAAACCTAACATGTTGATATGGACATGCACAAGGAGAATCCCAGGGATCTCCATAGCTGCCTAGGACAGTCGTCTTCAACACGGGTGTGAGGGCGTCTGAGGACATGTGGCAACTCTCTAACAGGGCTAATGTGTGCTGATAATTTTTTTTTTTTTTAATTTTTTTTTCAACGTTTATTTATTTTGGGGACAGAGAGAGACAGGGCATGAACGGGGGAGGGGCAGAGAGAGAGGGAGACACAGAATCGGAAACAGGCTCCAGGTCTGAGCCATCAGCCCAGAGCCTGATGCGGGGCTCGAACTCACGGACTGCGAGATCGTGACCTGGCTGAAGTCGGATGCTTAACCGACTGCGCCACCCAGGCGCCCCAAGTGTGCTGATAATTTTAACAGAACTTGTTTCTAGATCTTCAACTACTGTATGTGCTCTTTCTTTTTTTTTTTTTTAATGTTTATTTATTTTTGACAGAGTGAGAGAGAGAGACAGAGCATATTGGGGAGGGGCAGAGAGAGAGGGAAACACAGAATCTGAAGCAGGCTCCAGGCTCTGAGCTGTCAGCACATAGCCCCACGCGGGGCTCAAACTCACAGACCATGCGATCATGACCTGAGCCCAAGTCGGACGTTCAACCGACTGAGCCACCCAGGTGCCCCTGTATGTGCTCTTTCTTAAAACTGACCAGTCTGAGAACACATCTACGATGGGGAGGTTTCCCTTCTCACCTCCCCTTTCTCAATCACCTTCCTCTCATGTTAGAAAGTCATTCCTCTTGTCCACCTGGACTTTCACTGTGGTGTATTACCCTGGGGCATCGAACCATCCAGGGACACCAAAACAAACTCAAGTGTGGATGTTGAAAGTGAATAATTCCAACAACTAGGTATGAAATTCTTCTGTAAGTCAAGTCATTTCCAATTCTTTGCTTTTAACAAAATTGAAGAGTGATTTGATTGAATTGACAGGTGGCAGATTAAACTATATTATTGTGTGATATATCAAAATCATGAAATAGATCATCTGTATTGCAAGAAAAATTAAAGAATTGAGTAACATTGCTATGATAAAGTTGCTTCCATTCTCTTTTACTTATTCATGTAAATAAACTCTCTCTGTGCTTGTAACTGTTAAAAAATGAAAAATGGGAATAGAACCAATGCTAAACTGTCACAATCTACCAATAATACACACACACACACACACACACACACATATGCATATCTGAATTCAGTGAAAAAAAATCTTAATTTTTTTCCAATAAAATTTTTTACATTTAGTAACTACTTATTAGAATCTGTACTATATTTATGTTGGTCTGATAAACTTTGTAATACTAATAGTTGTAACAAGAATTCAATCCAGAAAAAAATTAACAATCATAGCAGCAATGTTCAATAGAAATATTATGCAAACCATGTGGGTAAGTGAAAACTTTCTATTGTCATATTAAAAAAAGATAAAGACAAACAGATGAAAAATGTTAAGAACTTTTAACCCATTATGTCTAAAATATTATCATGCAATCAATAGAAAACATTTAATGAAATCTCTTTCTTTCTTTTTTCATGCTAAGTCTTTGAAATCCAGTGTGCATTTTACATGTACAACACGTGTGCATTGAGACTAGCCACATTTCAAGCACTCAGTGGCTTTCAGTGGCTAGTGGGTACCATACTAGATAACACGAGTTAGAGACTTAGGATGGCAGGGAATTAAATTTAAACTGCACTTATATACATTTCTTCCCTCGCAGAAGGTATGATAGGGTGATCAAAAAAAGGCTTTCAAGCATAAAAATATTACATTAGTGTAATATTCATGTAATATTCTATGGGAGAAGTGGAACAGAAATATGAGCTCATGTATTTTTAAAATTGATGATGGTGAGAAACAAATATGAATGACATTTAGGTTCCAACGTAAATGAATTAGGTTCATTTGAACCTAATGAATTAGGTTCCAACATTCCACGTAAATGAATGATGTATTAATAAAACACTAGATGTTATATTCTTCACAATCATTTAACCTTATGTTGAAAAAAATTTTTTTTTTATTTTTTTAATGTTTATTTATTTTTGAAGGGGAGAGAGACAGAGAGAGAGAGCATGAGCCAGGAAGGGGCAAAGAGGGAGACACAGAATCCAAAGCAAGCTCTGAGCTGTCAGCACTGAACCCAATGTGGGGCTTAAACTTATGAACTGTGAGATCATGACCTGGGCTGGAGTTGGGACAGTCAACCAACTGAGCCATGCAGGCACCCCAAAAAATTTTAGATGTCAACCTCAAGGGTGATAGGTTGTGTATGATATGATTTTCAAAATTCAAAATTATTTTGGCCATATGTGAGCAAAATTGTTTAAAGGAAATACTGTCAGAGTGGAGCCAACTAAATAGAACAGGAGATATGGGGATAATGGGAGCAGCAATGGCAGAGACAATGGAGCATGATAACAATGGGCCACAGAAACATACCCATCATGGAAGTCACTGAAGCAGGAAACATCTAGATACACACACTGTTATGGCCAGAGAACATCAACTAAGAATACTGGACAGATAATCATGGTTAAAATATCAAGTTCAGGTAAGTACACACTGGAGAGAAGAGCCAGCCTGAAGTGGGTCAGCACCAAGAAGAGAGGACCCCACTGCTCTGCTGATAAGGCTGGTGACAGGCACCCACCCGTGTATGAACTGGAGTTTCAAGCTGTCCTCAGGAGCCTTTTCTCTTTTGAGGAAGGGCACTGCATGGTTTTTCTCTTTACTTTGTTGCTTTAGCTGAGGTAGATCTTCTTTGTAAACCTTAAAGCATAGCAGAAAACATTTAGTTGAGACTCTTCAGGTTTCAAAATTATTAATATCTTGGCATTCTCAGGAGGTCTTTAACTGTAGGAAATCAAGTTTTTGAGAACATGAGAAGCTAAAAATGGTCACAAGAGACAAAGTAGGTCATTATATAATGATAAATGGGTCAAATTCATCAAGAAGATATAAGAGTTTTAAATATGCACCCAACATCAGAGCACCTAAATACATACAGCACATACTAACAGAACTAAAAGGAGAAATAAACATCAATGTATAATAGTCGGGAAGAGTCACTCTGAATAATGGGTAGATGATCCAGACAAAGAATCAATAAGGAAACAGCAGATGAAGAACACTGCAGACCAAGTAACCTAGCAGACATAACCAGAACATTCCATGTCTCAGTAGCAACATACACATTCTTCTCAGGATGCCTCATATGTTAGGCCACAAAACATGTCTCAATAAATTGAAAAATATAGAAATCATATCAAGTATATTTTCTGGACACTGTAGTATGAAAGTAAGATCAGTAACAGGAAGAAAGCTGGAAAATTCTTAAGTATGTGGAAATTAAACCACACACTTTTGAACAACCAGTGGATCAAAGAACATAGAAACATAGAAAATATCTGAAACAAAAGAAAATGGAAACAATGTAACAAAACTTATGCGATACAGCAAAAGCAGTTCCAAGAGCAAAGTGTGTAGCTATATAAACATACATTAAGGAAAAAAAACCTCTCTGATAAACAACGGAACAATGTACCTCAAGGAACAAGAAAAAGAATACATTAAACCCAAAGTTACCAGAAGGAAGGAAATAATAAACATTAGAGTAGAGGGGTGCCTGGGTGGCTCAGTCAGTTTAGTGACGACTTCGGCTCAGGTCATGATCTCATTCATGGCTTGTGGGTTTGAGCCCAGCATTGGGCTCTGTGCTGACAGCTCAGATCCTGGAGCCTCTTCAGATTCTGTGTCTCCCTCTCTCTCTGGCCCTCCCCAACTTGCAATCTGTCCTATCTCTCAAAAAATAAATAAACATCAAAAAAAATTTTTTAAACCATTAGAAATAAATGAAATAGACAATAGAAAACAGACAATAGAAAAGACAAACAAGAGTGGCTTCTTTGAAAAGATAAACCGAACTGAATACCTAAGACATGAGACTGCATTTTACTTCCTAATGAACAAAACTAACTTGAAATATCTTTTAAATCACTGGGGTTCAAGATTTTAAGTTTAAATAATACATATTCAGAAAATATGGTATTAATTTTCTGGTAAATAAGAAAGGAAATTACTTGATAAAATCATCAATAAAAATCAATAAAATATTTTGTTATAATTTTTTTCTAAGGTGAGAAATCTCTTGATGATTCATTTGCAAAACACAGACCTCATGAATCATGGTGATCACTCTCTGGAATTATCTTCAGTCATAATCTTATGCATCTTGACAGATTAGACTCTGAGATTTAGAGCAAAGTTTGGCCTAACCTAGCACCTAAAATGTGCTGCTGATTCAGAGAACATTTCCTACAATTTAAATGTAGATAAAAAATTAGTCTGTTTTGCTACCATGTATATATGCCCTACTATCAACAGATATCAATTTAACACATTCAAAATGAAGTACAATCTATTAGTAATTGCTCATCTTCATAGGGAAAATTTTCATTTGATAAAGCTATGTAACTAGAAAGATGATATATTATAATTAAGTCTGTTTTAGATTTAATAAAAAAATTTTAAAAAAAAGGATTCAGAAGATACCTCATTATTGCTTTGTCTACTGCAGATACAATGAATTAAGCTTGTAAAATCTTAAGCTAATTATCCATCTGAGTCCATGATGCTTTCTTCAGCTCATCAACTCCTCAAGAGCACTGAATTCTGGTCTTGGCATTTCTACAGGTTATTGGAACAAGTCTCATAAACTCTGTGGACCTAAGATTCTCATTTGTAGAATAGAATAAAACTTTCTGCTCAGGAGTAATTCAAGAACAAAAAAATAATGTAAATAAGTAATATAGACGAAAGCTTCAGAAACTAAGATACCAGGGAGAATATATAAATCCTAGGCATGGATTTCAGTATAGTCAAGTCTTTTCATTCTTTGACTAACATCTTTTATTACATAAAAAAATCCCAACTAAGATATTGCTTTTCTTTTTTTCCTAAATTTTATGTTCACTTTGCTTAAATTCCATGTCCCCTGGATATGAGGACATAACATTATTCACTGTGTATATATATCTACGTTAATAATTTCTTTTCAATCCTCATCTTTAGTTTTGTTGCATAATTCATTGTATCAACATGTGGTCAAGCTGACTTAGTCACGAAGTTGACCCAAACCATCAGTCAGACTGCCTCTAATTTTTCAAACACTAAATCAATGAGTGATAATTATCATCTGGAAAGTTTCAGTGCTTACGCAGTGGCAAAGCCAAGCAATATGCAGAATGTATGCTTTGGAGAGCAGCCCAGATCCTCATTCTTATCTCAATACTACGGGTGAGGTGGACGTGGGCAAAATAGTTAACATCTCAGGGTTACTGTGAGGTTGGATTTGGTGTATATACAGAGCAGGATCTGGCCCTGTAGAGACAGGTAATACACAGCAGCTGCCACAGGCCTATATGGTAAGTCTCCATGGGCAACAGTGACATTTGCTATGTCTGAAACCGGAAATCTTACTCCATGTTCACTGAGTCTACTTCACATACTTTCATGATATGACAAGAAAGAAAATAGAACACCTTCAGTTACCAACCATAAAAAAGGTGAGATGTCTCCAGATTCCTATGAAGGAATGTTCTCTTTAATACTCACTGTTCAGCACTAAAATGAAATGTCTACTTTAAAAAAACTAGGACCCAATTTTTTTGAAATTGTGTAACTTTTCTACTAGCGATAATTTCGGACTGGAGAGATCATACGTATTGTATTTGGGTTTTAACTTCAATTAAATGGATAACGGTATACGGAAGTTGAGAGAGAAACCAGGATGCTAGTTATCTTGAAAACTACCATGGCTTTAAAGCTACCAATTCTGTAAAGAAAACATGCTTTAAAATTTTATTATTTATTTATTTATTTATATTTAGAGAGAGAGTGTGTGCATGAATGAGGGAGGGGCAGAGTAAGAGGGAGAGCGAGAGGATCCCAAGCAGGCTCCACACTGTCAGTGCACAGAGCCCTACATAGGGCTCTAACTCATGAACCATGTGATTATGACCTGGGCCAAAACCAAGAGTTGGATGCCTAACCAGTTGAGCCACCCAGGCACCCCAGAAACCACATGCTTTCAGATCTGCTAAGAAAATTAAGAATACTTTAGCTTGCTTGCACATTTTTCTGCAAAATAATATTTTAAGTTTTAGGCGCTCGAAAGGCAGAAAACTCTGTCATGGGTTCAATTTAAAAATTTGGTACTACTTTCCACTGAAAATTTTTTTTTAATAATGTGAATGGGTAAATGCCTTATTTTCAATCTGTGCTTAAAGACAAGAAGTAGGTAATTTTCCTTATTCTTGTCTGGATTCTCTTCTGCTCAAGTACCAGCCATTTTTAGTGCAACATCCAAATCCAGTGAGATCGACATTCTGGGCTGTAAGGCATTTGTTAGGAGGCCCTCTGCTTACTGACCTGGCGATCATAATTGATTTGAGTTTCTTGCTCAATATCAGAGTCCAACTCTGGCACATCAGATAAATCCGAATCAGACTCTTCACTGTAAGAATCAGTGCCACCTTCTGCAGAAACACAACCCGTGAGAAACAAGCAAAAGTTCTGAGACCCAAAATAGCTTATACATTTATCTAAAATATTTTCTTTCTTCTAGCAAAGTAAATTAAAAAAAATCAATATAGCTTAGTTTTCCTTTGATGTAGGTTCTTAAAATGTCTCCCCACCATCCCTTCCATCTTTTGGTTAAGTTCAGCACATCATCTCACCCCTTACAGTAGCGTTAACAGACCTGGGCAATTCTCCCCCACCCCTCCCCAGCAGACAGAACTCATTGCCACACTTCTGTAACAAATCTTTGTGTTTTAAATCTTGCTTTGAAAAGGGCCAGAGAGAGAGAGAGAGAAAGAGAAGAAGAAGAAGAGAAAGAAAGAAAGAAAGAAAGAAAGAAAGGGAAAGAACGAAACAGAGAGAGAGAGAAAGAAAAGGCAAGGCCAGGGGAACGTTTTACCAAAATGAAGGCTGAAATAAAGGGAAATCTAACCACTTAGTTCTTAGCCTTTGCCACATCTACCAAGTGGCAGTAATTGCCAGGGTCAAAACCCCTGCAGAAACTGTCCCAATGAAAACATTTCCTCATATGGTTTCAAATTTTATTACCTGATTACTCCTGCTGGCATGACAGTAAATTAAAAGACTACACATCCAGTGAACTAGAAGACTTCAGTCCCAACTGTGGACCATTCTTTGAACTTCACTCTGGAGCCAACTCCTAAGGTCACTCTGTCCCTCTGTCCCCCTGCAGCCTGAGTAGACCCACCACAGTTATAGTTGTCCTAAGGAGGCTGAGGTAGATTTGTTCCTGACATTCTCAAAGGCTAATTCTTCATGTAAACCTTTGATCTTCAACTGGCATCTGGTATAAACAAAATCTTTTGAAGGAAATTAACCAACTAATTCACATATAACTCAAAAGTTTTGTTTTTACTTTTAATTTTAAATTTTATTATAGGGATGAATTTTTCAAAAATTGCTTTAACTCTTTATGTCCAGGAGAGATGTTAGAACATTCTTTGAAATTTTTATTGCCAAAAAAAAAAAAAAAAAGCTTGAAAAATTATAATTGGTTTTACCCTGGGGTGCAGTTTCCAGCAGACCGTTGCTGACACCTTCTGGAATAAATCTCCACTGGAAAACTGAGTGGTCAGCCCCTCCTGTGCTCAATACCCACTGAAAGTCATGGGACCAGCGGACATTTGTGACATGTGCAGAATGGCCCACATACTTTCTAAATTTGGCTCCTGAAAAGATATTTTGAAGAGATTAGTAATGCAAAAAATACAATTCATTGATTAAAATATTACATTCTGATTCAGGCTGAAAAGTGAAATCTTTAAATATATTAGAAAACATAATTTTCAGTATTATATATCTTAACAAACAAAGCCTCCAAAAATTATCTCAATTATTCCACTATGGATTAAGCTAAAAATGGCCTTAAAATTTAAGTCCTGCAGCTGAAGACACATCTGAACCTTTTCCAGATAATGCCTACTGCTTCACTGATTCTGCAACTAAAATGCTTAAGAATGATTATCTTACACATTCTTATTTAAATACAAGATAAGACAGGTGGTCCTTTGCAATAGGGAAACAGAGAATCATTCTGTGGGAAAAAAAAAAAAAAACAGTCAAATTACTGTTCAGGGTCATGTGGATGTAGAGCTGGAAGAATTAAATTTGGTTCCCTGATTGCTTTACTTAGTAAACACCATCCCCAAGGTCACGAATGCAGAAGAAAAGCTATTTGCACTTATGGTTGTAGCTGAACTACTGCAGTAAAGTATCCAGTATGTAGTTGGTACACGGCAGCATGAAGGAAGTCAGGGAAGTAAGCAGGGTCCATGCTATCGTGTGGAGGCCTCATACTCCAAAGGCTACGGGAGATTTCAGGGGCCGGCAATCCTCCTTCAGAAATCATTCTACCTATTGCAGGCCCTGTAATGGAGCCTCTTTAATGGGGGAGAAAGCAACCTGTTCAACTAAAACATGTTTAAAATTCAAATACCCATTGGAGAGGTAATGATTTAAAGTTATGTGAAGGTGGGGCGCCTGGGTGGCTCAGTCGATAAAGTGTCCAACTTCAGCTCAGGTCATGATCTCACAGCTTGTGAGTTCGAGCCCTGAGTCAGGATCTGTGCTGACAGCTCAGAGCCTGG